GGGCGTATCCTGCTGCCTGAGTTCCCCTTGAGTTCTCATGGGATTCAGACAGTATATTTTGGAGATAGAAGCCCAGTGGAGTGGATTTGGGCAGAGAATGTGGATTTGGGCAGAGAATGTGGATTTCCCCAGAACGTGATTGTAGACGGCTGGTGTGAGTTCGGGAATAAAGAGTTGCTGTTTGAATCTACAAGCTGTGTAGTGGCTCGTGATTGTGTGCCCAGCCAGACTGCGGCATTTGTGCCCAGCCAGACTGCTGCGGCATTTGGCGTCCCGTGCGGGGAACTTCTGAAGCTTGAAGGTAAGTGAAATTGCTCGCCCCTGAGGAAGAGCGAAAGAATGGGTGACCAATTCCAAAAACAATGTGTTATTGTTTTGATTTATTTTGTTTTTATTCCAAGTTGCCTGTTCCTAGAACTTTCTCAGGCAAACTGGGGAAAATGGTTGACTCAAGGTTTGAAGTTGTTCGCCTCCGAGCAAGAGAAATTGTTAGAGGAAGAAGGCACCACAGTGAGACCAAGAACAATTAGGGCATATGTTGATACAATACAAAAATGTAGCCCATGGCTTTTTAAAGACGAGTTATTAAGTATATCAATGGGACCATCATGGTATCCTGTAGAAGGATTTTTCTTCAAGAAAGAGATGGCTAGTTCTGTTTACTACATTTGTCTAAGATCTTGGTTTTTACAGACATCTGATTAATTTACAAAGCTAAAGTGTTAAAATATCAACCACTAAATATAAAATCAAGTGTTCTTTACTTATTAAGTTACATAAGGTAATATATTTAAACATTATGTGTGTTTTCATAAATTGGTAAATGGAAAAAAGTTTAATATTGCTTTGGTCTGTGTCTTTGCTGAAACAAGGTTACTAAGTGTTAAGATTCTATCAGGTGTAATTTATATACAAAGAGTATAAGAAGTTTCAGTTGGGTTTCAATCATAGTATTATAGTACCATAAAAAAAACATGAAAGTATTTCATCTTACTAAAGTGGAGTAATTTGTCTAAATCAGAAATTTTATAAGGGTTGTTTCAAAATGTGAATTTATAAAAAGGGTTAATGGCTAAAAAAGAGATAGAAAAAGATTCAAGATGTGGAAATATATTTTAATATAAAAGGTTAAAGGAAAAAGAAATGTTTCTAGATGAGATAATCTGTGTGTGGTAAAGTAAAAAGGTGTAAAATGCCATTTAAAAAGATTTTGAGGAAACTAGACTTACTTTAAAAGCTTGAGAAAGGAAGAAAGAAGAAAAAGATATTTGTGCATGGCAGATTGAGACAAAGCTTCTCAATGGAGTTTAAAAAAAAAAAAAACAAAGCCTTTGGTTGAAGGGCAGCCATGTAAACTAACATTAAAGCGATTTAAACAGAATCTAAGCCTTGTTTAAAAGAGTGAAGTTGTAGGTGGTGAAAAAGTACATTTAAAAGTACAGTATAGATGATAATTAAAAGGCTTTAAAAGGTTAAATTGAAGGTGGTCCAGATACCTTCATGGCGGAAAAAGATTGCTTTATTGCGTCATTCGAAGCCTAGTTAATCGTGAAGACACTACTTAAAAAAAAAAAGGGAAGATAATAGGATAAAAGATATTTAGATAAAGAAGATTAAAAATTTAAAGTGAAAAACTTTAAAGACAGAAGTACAGAATGGTAAAAAAAGAGAAGATGTAGAAAGATAGATTAAAAATTTGAAGTGGAAAACTTTAAAGAAAGAAGTATAGAAAGTTAAAAAAAGATAAAAAAGATATAGGAAGATAGAAAAGATGTAGGAAGACAATAATTTTAAACCCACAAAATAGGAAACAAAAAAAAAACAAAGAAAAAAAAAGCAACTAAAGGTGAATGTACAAACCTTAGGAAAAAAAAAAACTAGAAGATAGAAATAAGATAAAAAATGGTTGAAAATGTCATGTAAGGTGTTTCAGATATAAAATGCAAAAGGCTAAGACAACTATTAGATACAGACATTCAAGATAGAAAAAGGTAGAAGAGAGAAGTTTAAAGTCAAATATTGGATAAAATAGAAGAACAAGGAGATTATTAGTAATTTTTTCAAAAAGCCCATCAACTTTAATTTCTGGTGGTGCAGATATTAGAAGTCTCAGATGAGGGTGTTAAAATTTATACACAAAAGCCAATTTAGAAAACGTTAAACTAGAAGGAAATTGGTTTAAAACCACATCAAAAAATTAAAAGGACTAAAATAATTCTAAAAACTAAGGCAGAATGCTTTTAAAAGATTTAAATTTAAAAGGATCTTTAAGGAGTATATATCCCCCAAAGATAAACTTAAAATAACCCGTTTTACCCTAAACTTTTTAAAATTTAGATTCATCAGGACTTAGTGCTGCAGAAAGGCATATGTATCCAAAAAATGTACATAAGCCTAAGGTACTTTGGAAAGATATTCTAACAGGACAATGGAAAGGTCCTGACCCAGTGATTGTCTGGAGTCGGGGTTTTGTTTGTGTGTTTCCACAGGGAGAACAGCAGCCGATTTGGATTCCAGAGAGATTAACTAAAACAATTTCTGCAGATCGAAAAGAAGATGATTTGACTCAAATCCATAACAGCTGATATCCAGAACTCCAGCTTGGCCATTCTTACATCTGCGACAGTGATTAACCAGGATGCTTTTTTCAATAGCTATTTTATTATTGCATTTTTCCACATCATAAGGTTCTATTTTATTTTTTTGAGCTCATACAAACCTAGGTTAATGTTTTTCTGATCAGTTTTATTTTTTAACTGTGAAGTTTTTAAACATTGCAATGGAGATTTCACCTAGGTAAAGCTACAAGGCCTTTACTATTTTCTTATGTGTTGTACGTTTGTGTACACTCTTGTGTTTTATGTTGTATGTCTGTATGTGTGTATGTCCATATTTCTTATATGAGGAGCGCTCATGAAAAAATGGATCAGAATTATTATTATTATTATTATTTATTCACGTGATTTAAATGGTTTAATTTAAATTAGGTAAACAGCTGTTAAGGATTGTTGTTAAAGGTGGTTAACAGATCTGTTTGTTTACTAATTTAAATTAGGTAAACAGCTGTTAAGGATTGTTTTTAAAGTAGGTTAACAGATCTGTTCGTTTACTTTCACCTTTCCTTTTCATTATATTTAATAATTCTTTTCAGGATAATGTCTTTTTAGCATCATTGCCAGAATTCCTATCTTCATCCCAGTGCCGGTGAAGACAAAGATAAAACCAAATTACAGCTTCTATCACAGTAAACTGTATAAACTGATGCATCAATGAATATAACTCAACAAGTAATGCTCAATCAAGGAGTCAACTTACTTTGGGAGGAAATGGATTTTGGGAGGAAATGGACATATTGATAGATTCCTCCACTTTGAACTGCTTGCAAAACTTGCCTGAACTATGTAACTATCCTTTGGTGTAGCAAATTGTGGTAATGCTGGCATATCTTTGCTGATGGTGTCACTAGTGATGCAATTTTTATTTCCTTGCCAGCACACCCCATGTTAATTGTGGTAGTGCTGACATATTTTTGCTGATGGTGTCACCAGTGATGCAATTTTTCCCAAGGAGCCGTCAATTGGCTTGGTGTTGTGGCATTTCTGTATCCTCCTCCCTTCTGCTAGTGATGGTCTAAAATTTGGGGGCCAATGGCTATATACTGGACCGGTAGTCAGTGATGGGTATGATCCAATTGCAGTGGTATCAACCTAAGACAGGAGGCTGACGCCTAAAGGTCAGTTTTCCGATGACGGGTAAGAACCATATGTTGAATTGGACAACCTACCAGGCACGGTCCTTAAGCCACATTGCTTGTTGTTTAATTAATCAGAAGGGGGGAGATGCTGGGAGCCATTAGCCAAGTAGGTATGACAATTTCCTTGCCAGCGTACCCCATGTTGCTGACATTTTGCAGTGACATTGAATGTAGGTGACCTTGCTCAAGGACCAGGGTGGATTAGGGTGTTCCTGGTTTAAGATAATCGGGTTTAGGGCGTTCCCAGTTTAGGTTCCAGGTTTAAGGTTTAAGATTATTCCTGCTGGGAATAGGGCGTATCCTGCTGCCTGAGTTCCCCTTGAGTTCTCACGGGATTCAGACAGTATATTTTGGAGATAGAAGCCCAGTGGAGTGGATTTGGGCAGAGAACGTGGATTTCCCCAGAACGTGATTGTAGACGGCTGGTGTGAGTTCGGGAATAAAGCGTTGCTGTTTGAATCTACAAGCTGTGTGGTGGCTCGTGATTGTGTGCCCAGCCAGACTGCGGCAGAATAAAAGTTGGAAGAACAAAGAAGCAGCAGCAGATGTAAGCTTGATTCTTATTGAACTGGTTCTTGATGTGAGCATTGAACCTATATGATTATTGCTTCTTTCCTCTTGTAAAGCAGACTATGCCAGTGATTATCCAGGGAGTATCCAGAAAGTTTCAGTCTTGGACCAGGGTAGAACAATTGATCTCTCTTTTTCTGAGGCTTCAGCCTCCTGGACTTCACTGCTACTGGTTCTTCCAGCTCTCCACACTGCACGTGACCTTTGTGGAGTATTCACCTTCTGGTCGCATAAGCCAACCTAAAATATCTCTTTTTATAATTATACTTCCTATTGGATCTCTTCCTCTAGAGAACCGTAATACATATGGGCTTTCATTTGTTTGTTTTACTTTTAAAGAGCTGGGCTTCTATGCCTAGCTCTCCAGGGATATTTTATAAAACTTTCTGTGAATTTCTCATACTTCCTTGACCCAAATAGACTTTCTTTTTCCAGTTATTGGAAAGAGGAATGGGGACAGTTATGATTGTAGACTTCTTATGACCCAATTCCTATACCTAAATTCAGAAGATCAATACTCAAATTTCTATTCTGGTGGGAACAGGAACTCAGTGTGGAGGGGATGTGAGTCATCTAGTCAAAATTATGGCTGATATAAAGCTGAAGGCTCTCCTTGTGCATCAGTTCTCCTTTTGTGTCATAGAATATAGTTTGTCTTGCTTTAATGAGCATTTTTTAAGAAAATGAAATGTAGTTCTTACTCCTCAGGCATAGTTCTTGGAACCTTTTAGCCTAAGCAGGCTCAGAAGTGACCTGTTTTTTCTTCCTCAGAAACATGGATTCCAGAATCATGAAAGCCTTCCAAAAGGAAATCACCTGCCCTCTCTGCATGAAGTACTTCATAGATCCAGTCACCTTAGCCTGTGGGCACAGCTTTTGTAGGCCCTGTGTTTACCTTGGCTGGCATGACCTCCCAGATCATGTTACCTGCTCTGAATGCAAGCAGATGGTACAGAAGAGAAACTTTAAAACAAATATTTGTATGAAGAAACTGGCAGCCATTGTCAGAAAAACCAGTCTTTGGCAATTCCTGAGCTCTGAGGAACACATGTGTGGGGCTCATAAGGAGATGAAGAAGATCTTCTGTGAAGAAGACAAGAACTTTCTCTGTTTGCTCTGCTCTAAATCCCAGGAGCATGAAGCTCACAAACATTGGCCAATCGAAATTGCTGCTGAGGAACACAGGGTAAGTGATTCCTCTGAAGATCCATGTCTGTAAGAACAAAGAAATCAATATGGGTCTGTTTCCTTGGGGAATGCATGACTCTCTCTGTTTCCCATTCAGAATCTCTTCCATGTTCCAAGTCTCAGGCTTCCCATATTTGATAAACATCTGAGAGGAACAAAGAAAACATAATGACCCGGTTATTTTCATTGGAATTAATTTATCTCTCATTTCTGGCTTTTTCCCTATGTGAAGGTCTATTTTTTTTTTTTTTGCTGCATTATGATTTGTGATTTTATTTTACAGGAGAATATGGTGAAGAAAATGTGGTGTTTATGGGAAAAATATTGTGAAAGTTACAGAAACCTGACAATGGAGATGTTGATTATGGGCTCATGGGAGGTTAGTTCTATGCTTCTGCCTTCAACATGAACTTAGGGGGGGCATATGTGTAATGTTTAAAGTAGGAAATAGAACTGAAACCCTAGTTTTCTCTAGGATTAAACAAGAAAGGGGTGGGGTCAATAGTAAAAGTATTTCCTCAGTTTCTATTTAGGGCAGTATGGCCCTTAGGTAGTATTTCTAGCTGAGATACAGATATTATCAAAAGTGTGCTGCTTTACTACAGGTAAATGTACACTTAGTACTTACACAACAGCTACAAAAAACTGGGCCATCTCACAATGTCATGTGCTGGGAAGATATAAGTGACAGGCAAAAAGTGGCATTTGGTAGTCACTGAAAATTCAAATGCAGCTTCCAAAGCAGATTGAGCTGACTCCTGGTAGAAACTTTCAGAGAGAGGGATAAATAGTTCAAATATAAGAAGAGTCTGAAATTACCCCAACTAATTAATATTTAACAACATAATGTAAACTATGGAGGGGAAATAGGATGGGTGACATAGCATTGTGTTTTGAGTAGAAGATTACAAGTTTGAGAATAATTTTTAAATAACTCATTTTCTTTGTGAATGTTTATCCTGAGTGTGTTATAATTTAAAAGAAAATTAATTTAAAATTTGTTTTATGATAACTATGACAAATTATAAGCTAGAAAATATGGCAGAATTCAACCTGCAAATATCTTTTATTGGAAAGGTTAAGATACAAATCAGAAAGGAAAATGGCCATCCTGTAAATAAGTGAAATTCTTGATATATTAGAATATGATAACTTGGGGGTTTTTTAGAGTAATTCAGCAGGGAAGTAGAAAGTGGGTACAAGGGCAGAGACTGGAGATGAGGTTTGATTTTTTTAAGTAGTTGGTGGCAACATTTTTCACTAAAAAATTACTTTGAGATTAAGACACAAAGAGGAACATAGCCATAGAGTGTCAACCCAGAGAGAAGCACATGTCAAATAATTGCACTTGGTATATTTGGAGGGAGGTTGCTGAAGTCACATTGAAGTTGATGTCATAGATTGGAATAACTGTTGAGGAGAATTGAAGGAAATGGTATCAGACAGATAATAGAATCAGATGCTAAATGACACTTCAGTATGACAGTTAGCTGGGTGAAGTGCATGGAAATGAGTATTGCACTCTGAGGTTACAGTATGTAGGCTTTAAGTGACTTGGCTTAAACTCAAGAAAAGTGAATGGATTGCAATTCACTCCTTGGGGTCTAAAGTCCTTAAGTATGAAATGGGTTGTTTCTCCACATATGGGTTGGAAAGGATAAAACAACTTTATTTTTGTGTGTGGATTGTTTTATAAAACTCTTAATCATGAATTAAGTGAATGTAACTTGTTGAATGAAACTGTTGACCATGATGCAGAGTAAATGACATGGCGGTGCTGTCCTGAAATATCAGCTGCTTGGGAGGCTAAGGCAGAAAGATGATAAGTTTGAGTTGAGCCTCAGCAACTTAATGAGATTCTCTAACAAAATTAAAAGAAAGAGAAAAGAAGGAAGAAAGGAAAGAAAGAAGCCATGAGTATTTATAAAAGAAGGAAAGAAATAAAAATTTGTGGATTCTGAAAGTTTGACAAGATGAAGGCTTAAATAATTGTTATAAGATAAACAAGAATCAGGGAGTTTATTTTATTTCATTTTTTGTTTGTCCTTTTAAAATACATGAGATTAGATGTATTATGACATATTATGCATACTTAGATTATAACTTATTCTGATTAGAATCCCATTCTTGTGATAGTATATGATGTGGAATTTCACTGGTGATATATTCATATATAAACAGAGGAAAGTTATATCCTAGAATCAGGGAGTTTCAACAGGAGTTAGAGGGATAGGTCCATATTTTGATGAATTTAATTTTACTGGAGAACTACATAAATTTAAGAAGAGAAGCAATTAGAGTTGAATATGGGAAGATGCCTGCAACTTACTATGAGGAAGAAAAGCATCATTTAGAGAGGCTGCAAAAAGAGAGCAAAGACATTTTTGAGCAGCTCAAAGAGAGCAAAACCAGAATGGCTCATATGACAAAGATGTTAAGAGGAATATATGAAGAGGTGAAGGAAATATGCCACAGACCAGATGTGGAGTTACTCCAGGTAACTACTGATACATGGGGATGTAGGACAAGCATGTATAGCTGTTGCAATTCCCAGCTGAAATCCACTTCCCCCGTTGCTTCCAGTTTGGGTCTATAAACATATTTCCCCACAACTGCTGTTACTTTGCTAGCAGGTCACTGCTTCAAGGATTTCCAAAAACCTAGGATTCCCTCCTATGTTATCTGTAAGAGAGAAAATTGTATGGAATGATTAATGTATAGTCCCCATCTGAAAATCAACAACATAATTGGGACTTTTAGAAATTCACAAAATAGTGAGCTGAACACAGGTATTCAGGTTAAATCACCAACATAACAAGACGGGGTGATTCAAGAATATAGATCTTTTTAATACTCCTTTGTGGCAGTTCACCTGAGACCCAGGGCCTTGGCACAATGGCTGGGATCTTATTTCTGATTGCAGCAGAGCCCAGACTCCACAGTCTCTGCCCCTTCCACTCACACAGAATATTGAAGAACCAGACTTTGCCAGGACTCTATAGTGGACTTTTTGTTTGTTTGTTTGTTTGTTTGTTTGAGTAGAGAGCAAGTGGGACATGCATCCAAGGATGTAGTAACTTCTGGCGATGTATCAAAAATCTCACACTGTAACTAATGGTAGAGGGATCCTGTGAAAATCACTCAGACTTTTTATTTTTCTTTTCACAGGTCTTTGGAGACACACTGCACAGGTGAGTGTTTACCTGCGTCCCAGCAGATGCTATTTTAAGTTTCTACAGTACTAGTCAGGACTACTATGTGCATGATTCATTGGAATACTGAGTCAGTATTGTCATTGATCTACTATTTTCCTCCCTCACCTACTTTTGACATCTCTCTTATTTCCTATTCTCAGTGATTTTAGGAGCAGCTTCAATAAAAATGTGGCAAAAGAGAAATTATTTAAAAAATCCTTCCATTCCTTGTTTTCTTTTAAATTCTGGAAAGCCTATGCAGATAAAGGAGAACTAGTAAGTGTTCTCAAGGGTGATGAAGTCAAACACCTCACAGAGCTAATAGAGGGAACAGCGGCTAACAGGAGATATAGAGTGCTCCAATGTGTGAAATCTCTAGAGATTTGTTAATTTTGTATGTATAAGCTGACAGTTTTAAATGACAGTTGAAAGAAACTCACAGCATTTTAGAACTCTGTGGGTCCTCCAGGAAGCAGATATCCCTGCCTAATATTTTTCAGAAATTCTTCCTGTGAAGGAGGCAACAGCCAGTTCTAGTTTTTAGAGAAGCTTGTGTCTACAGATAGGGAGATTTCAGTGCAGACTGGAAATGGACACCAGATTTTTACTCTTAAATATACGTAAGTGAACAGAGAACTAAGTATGTTTACAGAATTTGAGGAATAACAGAAAGGATTAAAGTGGATTCCAACAGCATTTACAATATATTTGAATATTTAGGAACTGCGAATAAGAATTAATTTCACAAAGTGATAATTTCTGTATTTCCACATCTATGTGTTGCAAGAATTTTTATGAAGTGTCTTATCAAGAAGAGTCATGATTTTCTGACTGTACATATGTTAACTGCATCTTCCTTCTTGCAGGATTGAATCTATGCAGCTGTATATAGTCCAACCTGTGAATCCAGAACTCAGTGCAGGACCCATCACTGGATTAATTGACAGGCTCAACAGCTTCCGAGGTAAGCATAAGCCCATTGTCAGTATTCTCTCAATCTATTATTTGTTGTTAGGACCACATGAGTGGAATTTCTCTTTCATTAAATATTTTACTTATTTTTAGAAGTAAATAATTTGACTGCAAATTCTTGAGTATGTTTCTATAGTCAAATTTATAGTATAACGAGTGAAAGATTTAAAAAAAAAAAAAAAAAAAAAAAACTACTTAAATAGAATCCAGGCTCATATGTCCTGAATTATATAAAAATGATATAAAATTGGAAATTTTAATAAGCAGAGCTACACTCAGATTTAAGATTCATTATTCAATTTCACATACAAATTTATGCAGTTGTTCAGTATGTTCATTATTGAAAAAAAATTTGGTCCTGGCATTTTAACTTGGGGCCTCACACATATTAGGCAAGCACCACACCACTTAGCCAGTAATGCAGCCCCCAGATTTTTTTTTTTTTTTTGAAACAGTCTCACTAATTTGCCCAAGCTGGCCTTGAACTTTTCATCTGCTTATCCCAGTCTTCTGGGCTTTCAGGCTTAAGCCACCTCATCCTGCTTAATTTGAATTGTTAGGAGAAGCTTTGGGGGGTAAATATTTGACTAGAACTTTATGTTGTTTTTACCATGGGTATATATGATTAAATGACATAAAATTTTGAATAGCTATAGGAAATCTAAGAGAAGAAATCAGCTTTATCACCAAGAAAGGAAAATACACATAAAATTGATTTTGGTTTGCTCAATATAAAGAGCTATATGTTAAATCTCAGACATGAAGGGCAATGCAGAGCATGCAGAAAACTTAGGGATAGTGAAAAGTTTTGCATAAATAAATTTTAAATTATTCTTTCTAAAATTACTGAATTTGAGGAATAACAGAAAGGATTAATATGGATTCCAACAACATTTATAAGATATTTGAATATTTAGTAACTATGAATAAGAATTAATTTTACCAAGTGATAATTTCTAAAATGTATAAATGTTATTTTTATCCAGTTATCTAGAAAAGGTTACAAGAGAGAAAATCTTCACCTCTCATCCAAATAATGACACCATTTTTTTGAAATAGGAATATTTTTCTGATACTTATTTTTGATGCCTCCAGAGAATTCAGGGCATCCTCTCTGTAGCTATTTTGAAATAAAAATTAAATTAAAAGACATTAGTTTTATATTTGTCTCATCTGTATCTGTGGTAAGGAATTTGTTTGTTCTGTAGATTTACTATTTATGCCCATAATTTATTAGATTTTACAACCAAAATCTTTGTTGCTGTTACAATTTCACATTTCTCAGTAGTATCATTTCTTCTCAGAAAGACTTTTTTTAGAACTTTAACTTATTATTTACATACATGTCTGCAATATTTTTCTTACAGTTGATATTACTCTGTGTCATGAAAAAGTCTACTCCCACATCTTCCTGTATGGAGAGTTGAGAAGTGTGAATGTTGCATGCAGTCCACAAGGTTCCTCCTTGATCATTCCAACATCAGAATGCTTTCTTGCCTGGGGTACTCACACTTTTTCCACTGGCAGATATTACTGGGAGGTGGAAGTGGGAGACTCTTGGAACTGGGCTTTGGGAGTCTGTAATGATGATTGGAAAAATAACAGAAATTACAAGATAAATGAGGTGGAGGGGCTCTTCCTTCTTGGATGTGTTAAGGAGGGTTCCCAATGCACTCTCTTTACCACCTCCCCACTTGCCCTTCAATATGTACCAAGACCTATTGGCCTAATAGGAGTATTCCTGGATTATGAAGGCAGAACAGTGAGCTTCATTAATGTTGCTCAAAGTTCGCTGATACACAGTATTCTTTTCTGTTCCTTTTCTCCCCTTGTCAATGCTGTTTTCTGCTGTAGTCACATCTGACCAGACATAGATAAGGACTATGCCCCAATATATGAAAAATTAAAAATCCAAGGAAGCCCTCTTCCTTGGGTATTATCAAACAGGTTATATTTTATTAACTTTACATTCCTTCTAATGTTGTGAAAACTTGTTTACTTTGTTATTAATTATGGTGATAATATTAAAAGCTCATATATTCCTAAAATTAGTTTTTTTTTTTAAATTTATTCATTTGAGGAATATAATTGCCTATGGTACATGAAATAGAATATATTTTCTGGTTTTAATTTATTCCTGGACTGTCGCAAATGAAAGAATAGATAAAGTATGATTTAATAAAGTTAAAATTCAACCTAAGAGAACATGTCTCTTTCTCTACCCAAACAAGCATGACCATAAAGACTCAATAGTTATAAGAACATAATTTTCTCCTTTTTTTATCTAACTTTAATTACTCATCTTGATCCATTTTCTGTTGTTTTCACACAAAACCTGCATCTGAGTAAATTATAAAGAGAAGATTCATTTACCTCACAGTTCTGAAGACAGGTAAGTTCTAGGTCATCCTGCCTCAGTTTCTGGTGAGTTTCATGATGAATCTGCTCATAGCAGAGAAGCAGAAGGAGAAATCATCCAGTGCAGAATGTGAAAGCACATGGATGGCATTCTTCATAACAACCCACTTTCTTAAAAAATAACTCTCCAAGGGCCCAAAATTCACTCTTTCATTCAGGTTCAGGCCCAGGAAAAATGCACTGATCCTTTTTAATGACTGAAAGGCCCCATGTCAAAACACCACTGCTGTATGAAATTACACTTTAACTTGTTTTTTTTTTGTTTGTTTGAGGAAAAACCATATTCAAAACATATTACTATATATCCATTCTGTCCATTATTCTGAGTAATCATTCTTAATCATCTGTGTGATGATTTCCTTTCTAAAATTATAAACATACATGTGAATATTTACAATCATTAGTATTCTCCTCTGCATTGGCAATCACAGGACAATCAATCTAGTGCTGAATAAAATGGTTATACAGGTGGACAAAAAGAAACCTTAGCCCTACCTATACATAGTCTTTTACAGTTTGACTTAAGAGAAAATAGTAGTCTCATAGAAAAATTGCCTAGACAAGACATGAAAACAATAATCAATGAGGAAAAATTTAATTGGTCTGCATTAATTTTTTTTTAAAGAGAGAGAGAATTTTTTAATACTTTTTTTTTTTTTTTTTTTTTTTTTTTTTTGGCGGACACAACATCTTTGTATGTGGTGCTGAGGATCGAACCCAGGCCGCACGCATGCCAGGTGAGCGTGCCACTTGAGCCACATCCCCAGCCCGGTCTGCATTAAAATTAATGACTTTTTGCTTAAAGATAATATTTCAAAAGTGTGAACATACAGAACTGAAGTTGGAAAATTGCCATGCACTATGAGCTCTGCCTGTAATTTCACCTACTTGGAAGCCAAATAAGGTGGTTGATTTAATTCCAGGTGTTCAAGGCAATAAAGCAAGATCTTTTCTCAAAAAAATAAAAGCTAGAACCAGGCATGATGGAAGATGCCTATAATCCCAGCCACTTGGAAGGCTGAGGCAGTAGGGTCAGAGTTTTAGCAAGACTTTCAGCAACTTAGTGGTATACTTTCTCAAAAAATAGAAGTGACATGGTATGTTACTCAGTGATAAAGCATCCCTGTTTTCAATTCCCAGTGCACTTCCCCCCCAAAAAGAATATATTTACCAAGTATGTATCAAAGATAAAATAAACGTGCATCATAGATGCTATGTTGGTTGATCTGAATTGTCAGTTTGGATTAAAATATGCTTAAGATTAGGATGCTTCTGGGCATGTCAATGGAAGTGTTTCTAGAAATGACTGACATACAGGAGAGCAAACTGAAGTACAGATTCACTCTAAGTGTGGGCAGCCATAGGTTGAAATCCTGGATGGAATAAAAGTTGGAAAAATGAGGCATCAGTGCCCTCTAGCTTGATTCCTCTTGAGGGGTTTTAGATTGCTGCTGCAAAATCCTGAGAGCATCAGACTCTATCTCCTTCACTCTTCCAAAGTGAACTCTGAATACTGACTATCAGGTTGTTTCCAGGCCTTTTATCCCACTGGGACTACATCATTAATCCATCTCTTTCTGAAGCTTCAGTATCTTAGACTAAGCAACTACTGGTTTCTCCACTCTCCAGCCTGCTGATAGGCATTGTGGGATTATACAACTTCTGGTTCTGTAAGCAAATCTAATAATCTCCTTTCAATAATCATATATTCCCTGTTGGTTCTGTTCCTCTAGAGAGCCCTGAATAACAAAGATGCATAAAGTTTGGTAAATAAAGAAAAGTGAACCTGGTAAAAAAAAGTTTGATAATTTTTTTTGAATGGTAATATCATAAAACAGAATACACATATGTAGTCTGCTGCACCCCTCCCCTGACTCAGGCAATGGCAAGGCCCTACTGAGGTGGATGGCACAAGGCATCCATCCTCTGGAGGAGTGCAGTATGTTTCTGGGAATGGGCTGGTTTGTTTTTGTATTCCTTTAATAAGTATAGTTGTGACTTCTCATATGACCATTAAGTATGAAGGAGAAAACATTACTTTCCCAATTAATGCAACTACTTCTAAAGAATAGATCTGTTTGCTCTAAATGCAATGATTCAGCTGTGGAGCATAAATTGTTAATGTCTAATGAAAAACTCCCTGTATTCCTGTCAAGGAAGTTTTTGAGAAATTAAATTAAAATCTAGAAAAGAAAAATTAATGTTAAGAAGACAGATGAGTGCTTAGTACTGGGCAACTTGTTCTTGTTCCTGTGCACAATAGTTTGTGCTCTTACTCTTGTTTGATTAAAATTAATAACAAGTCAACCACTTGCCATAACCATGGCACCAGTTCCAGTCAGTAAGTCAAGAAAGAATAGTCAAGGTATAGGTCAATAGTTTGGGACATTTCTAACTATTATTAAAAGCTAACTAAGCAGAAACAGCTCAAAGCAAAACATGAACTGAAAGTACAAATGCTTGCTTATGCATAAGCCAAGATACATTCTTCTATTCTAATTGTAGCTATGAAATATTTTGTTTCTTTGAATAATGATTCCTGTTTTGTAACCACAAAGTACTGTGAGCCTGCCAAAATGAAAAGTATATATGATCAATTTCACAAGTAAAGATTGGGATCAACACCTTCACTTTGGTGTCTGTGTTGTTTCTCCACCACCCTTTCGCCGACTCCTCACCATCCATTCATCTCCTGAGACACCCTGTTGGAGCTGGACTCCAACAGTAGTCAGTGAAATATGAAAAAATACTCACCTTTATGAGTCATTAGATTATTGCAAATTCAAACCATAAATCGAATCACTAGATGTCGCGACCCCTTGCCTGCAAGGAAGACGCAACTCAGGAATCTTCTTTCAGCAGTTTATTCAGGCCCTTGATATTTCTTCTTCTCTCTCTCGGATGCCCCTCCCAGCCTTAATAAAGCATCCCAAGCCCCAATGCAAAGCTGCCGCGTGGAGCTTTCTCACAGGGTGGTGAAAAATCATGTGCCAACTTTCCTAGATAAGGAGTTGTCACAGACCACAGCGGAGCCAGCATCATCTTGTAATGGCGACCATAATCTGCAGAAACGGCAGAAGCGGCTCACCACAGTTCCCCCTTTTCTGTTTTCTTAAAACAATACAGGCGAGAGTAGAGGTCCTATCCCACTGTGCAGAAGTGGCTGCATAGTATGACTCAGTCCTAAGGAGGCGCCTTCCCCAGATCTGAAGCCATATCAGCCGACGCCTTTTTTCGTGGGGCGGGGCGTGGACGCGTCTAACCCGCATGCAATAGGACATGCTCTCCTTGAGGTCCACGTCAAGGATCACTCAAGTGCAGTGCCTTGCCTCGCATCCTGTATCGTGACGATGGTGGACGAAGGGGGATAGCTGAGGCTGAACTGTGGCTGTTTATAATGACAAACAAGTTGACAGCACCCTGAAAGAAAGGCACGAACTTCAAGGCGATAGAAAAGTACTAGTGTGGAAACCCATCTGCGTGCAATGGCAGTAAGACCGGCAGAGTGCAAGGGCTTTCCAACACTAAGAGAATAACAAGGAAAGTCATGTCGATCCCAGTGCAATGTTATAATAACTTGGGGTGTAACGACCATGACAAAGGTTTACTGCTTAAGATGCGCAAGCCAGACTTGAGGCGAGTTGCCATTTTCTAAAGCTGCAAGAGCTTGTATGATCATAGCCTTTTCTTGTGCATGGCGAGTTTTAAGGCGACAGAGAAGCCACAAACAAAGTACAACACCGAAGCAACACATTGCACCAAAAATGCCTACTCCCACCCACTCTTTGAAGAAGGAAAAAACAGAAGATATCCAATCGGTGAATTGACCCAAAGTCACGGGATCGACACGGGTACTGTTCAAGACAGCTATCTGGGTTAGTTGAGACTGGATCATGTCTTCCGCTGCCATGGACCAGGTTCCGGATAGATACTCTCCGATGATGCGGGAGGCATTTCTGGAATTATTAAATCTGACAGAGGTTATACATAAATGTGCACGTTGATCAACACAACCCGAATGTACTAGGTCAGACAATTCCTCAACTTGAGCTTGAAGCAGATCTATCCTTTGATTAGCAGCCAGAATCCCAGATAAAATGTGTTGATTAATTCTACTTTGAGATTCAAGTATGGTGGATGTTTGTTGAATAACCTGATTAATAGTGGCAGCAGTTTGAATTTGGCTGGCTATGGCTACTCCAGCTATAACTGCTGCAGCAGCAGATACCGCCACAGCTGTCACTATAGCTGCCGTAATTCCAAAATCTCTACGGGTTCTAATCAGTTCAACAATAGGAAAAGACTCTGGATCTGTAGTAACCGGAATCGGGACAAAGGTTGGAATTTTCATAACCACTGCTGTAGTCCAGGAGCCATTCCAACACTCAGACAAGTAGCAAGTAACATTAGAACAATTAAGCATCCCCTGTAATGTAACATTAGCCAAAAGAAACAGGAACGGAGATTGGAGACAGACTGCTGCGGAGGGTAATGTAGCATTAGATAATTGTGAATTATTTGCAGAAATTTTAAGCCTCCTACCTCGCTCCGAGTCTTGGGTACTGCCAGAAACATTAAACAGCCAACTTTGGACTCCTAATATTTCCCTGGGGAAACACAAGCGCGGACTAGACTAGCCCAATCTGAGGGAGTCATGCAAAATCTAGTAAGTCCCTCCACCTGAGTGAGAGTGAAAGCGGCATCTATGCCATAAGTGCGGACAGATTCTGCCAAGGTTTTAATTATCTTAAAGTCTAAAGGCTCATGATATCTTCCCCTGTTATTGTCCTGAAATACAGGGTATGCAAGTCCCATATCTGTATTAACTGTCCTCCAAACTTGTGCATGAAAAGATCTCCCGGAACCTTGGCTCCCCCCCACATACGGAGGTGGGGCAATCGGCACCATATCTTCTTCTAGATATTCTACCTCCTCCTCCTCAGAGTTTTGTTGACCGATGTTAACTCCCTTCCCCTTCTTACAGTAGGCCTGCATGCCCTGTGTCTCCTTTTTCTTCTTTTTCATTTTTATCTTATGTAGTTGTTGTAACAATATATCAAGGTCCTCAGAACTCTCTGAGTCGCTTGTGTTCTCAGGCGTTTTTCATTCGGTCAAGTCTGGGTAGAGCCTTCTCCTATTTTTATCTTCAGGCTCTTTTGCCTTCTCACTACTGTTACTTTTAATACTCTCTGCCACTTCACTACATGATCCTTCAGATTTTTCCTCATGCAGTTGCTCTAAAACCTCCTGTCCTTTAGTAAGTGCTTCCTGACATCTGTCATCTGTAAGGCAACCACGGACCATTTTCCAAAGGGGTATCACCCCACCCTCTAATATGCCCTGCTCAGAAGCAAAGTCAAGATCTTTGCCTAATTTATCCCAACTAGGCACAGTAAGGCTGCCCGAAAATGCAAACCACGGTGCAGCGATATCTATCTTCTGTAAAAATCTCTGTAAAGTACTATGTTTCACTTCCAGTCCCTTGGAACATAACAGGCCATCTAGGGCCAGGAGAAGCGGACTTGAAGATGCAGCACCCATGACACAACAACAAAGGAAGCACAAAAAAAAGAAAGCGAAAGTAGGAGCGAAAGTACACAGTGCAGCTGCAATAAAATGTAAGGCTCTCTCTTTCATTACAGAGGAGCTGCCCCGCTTTGGTCGCGGATCCCACTTACTAGGGACTAACCCCGCTTTGATCGCAGATCCCACTTACCTGGGACTAACCGGTGCACCACCCCTGACTGTTGAAAGTTCTGGTTCCCGGGTTTCGGCACCACTTGTCGCGACCCCTTGCCCGCAAGGAAGACGCAACTCAGGAATCTTCTTTCAGCAGTTTATTCAGGCCCTTGATATTTCTTCTTCTCTCTCTCGGATGCCCCTCCCAGCCTTTTAAAGCATCCCAAGCCCCAATGCAAAGCTGCCGCATGGAGCTTTCTCACAGGGTGGTGAAAAATCATGTGCCAACTTTCCTAGATAAGGAGTTGTCACAGACCACAGCGGAGCCAGCATCATCTTGTAATGGCGACCATAATCTGCAGAAACGGCAGAAGCGGCTCACCACAACCTGACCTTGTCAAGAATAAATAAAAATTTAAAGATGAATAATATGTGTTGACAAAATGTAGAATAAATAATATTTACACAAGGCTAGAGAAAGTATTAATTGAAAAAATAAATTTTGGCTTACTTACTGAAAGCATTTTCTAAGGCCTAGGTATTCCAGTAGGGATAAGCATATATTATCAGCAGTTTCTACGTATACTTATTAGGTAAAATTTATAGGCAATGCTGTTCCTTTCATCATTTCTCATAATACCCTAAAATTTGGACTCAAAGACACTTACCAACAGTTGAATAGATAAATTGTTGTACACTCATGCAAAGCAATTATATGAAGCAATCAAAATGGACAAACTCACTGCAATAATGTAAATGAATAAATTTTAAAAGCATAGGCTGAAAAAAATATTCAAACAGTTTTTCCACTGTATATAGCTAAGGAATGATATATTAGATATTTACCAAGAAAATACATTTTAGATCCTTTTACCACACACACACACACACACACACACACACACACACACATACACACAATACCAATGGCACCTTACTTAAATAAATTTCAGACTCTGGTGTAACATTAAAACTTAAAATATATTTTGGGGGGTGCTGGGGATTGAACCCAGGGCCTGGTGCATGCAAGATAAATACTCTATCAACTGAGGTGTATCCCAAGCTCCAAACTTAAAATAGTAAATAACTTCATGAGAAAATAACTATACATGTCAGTAATAACTGGGAATAAAATATAGGAAAAATTGCAGTTGAGGGGGACATATTTTGTTTCACCAGGAGGATAATTATCTCTCCTGTTTAAAAAAACTTTAAGCCACAAAGAGCCAAATATATTATTGCCTTTGGAAAAGGGGAAATAAAGACATTTAAAAAGCAGAGAGAAATTAAAGTAGATACAAATATGTGATGAGTCTAGACCTACAGGTGGAGGTGGACATAATCACTGATAAAGCCCCTCCCAAGACTCAGGGACATGGAAAGTCCCTAAGATCATGGTTGAATCATCAGAAACATAAGGAATGTTCCTACATCCTTCAAGTTGCCATTGCCCAATGAGACTAGCAAGTGATGAGTAACATGTAAAAGCAGTTTATCTGAGGGTCTGAGAAGATTTTGTAGGGAGAACTAGAGTGTGGAGCAGATATTGAGAGAAACTGTTGAGCCAGTCCAACACTTAAAACAAAGTAATGCTAGGTGAATATGCAGCCCATGCAGCACTGAAATAATGACATCAGTAATGAATCCCAAAACCAACTCAACTTCCCACCAGATTGATTCAGACACAACACACACAGGTGAAGTCTAGTATGAGAGAAAGCATGCCAATTTACATTCTACATATCACAGAATTGTTCCATTTTTATAAGGAAATTATAATATATAAAAATAAACAAGAAAAAAGTAAAAGAAACACCATTCAGACATGAAGCAATCAACAGCACTACATTGTACTCTTTACAGTTAGATCAGTTGGCACAATTCTTCAAAAGGTTGGTAAGGTGTCTTTGCAAATTGTGAAATTTTTGTAACTTTTAAGGTTACTTACACAGAATGGAAAGGGAAAGGAAATAATTTTCTTTTTGAGTATGTGTGGTACTGGGAATTGAACTTAGTGATCCTCTATCATTGAGCTACATCTTCAGCCCTACTCATTTTTGAGTTTGAGACAGGGCCTTGCTAAATTGCCCAGCCTATAAAAAAAAACATGTGATCCTACTGCATCAGTCTCCTGAGTAGCTGAGATTACAGGAGTGTGCTACCATGCTGGCTACAAAATGACATTTTATACAATGTTTTTGTAAATAGATCAGATTTATTACTTTTCTACAGATCACTCATTTATTTCAGTTATTTCAAGTTTGGTAAAGTCTTCTATTTATTATTCTCTTTGATATTAAAAGGCAAATTTTAAAAGTTAAGATAGTGATATAAACTTTTAAAAATAAAAATCATGGGGAAGAAACATAAAGATTGAAGTGTGTTCCAAAGGTTCATGCTGTTGGCTACATGCAAAAGGTTTAACAGTGTCCCACCCTGGCTGTCTGTGCAAAAAGTCTGGGTCTTCAGCTTGTAGCTTCCACTTCCTGCCTGTAACATGCCTCCACAATCATAGGAGATAGAAACAGTCAATAGCTCAGAGGTTAAGTATCTTGACTTCACAGACTCTGAGATTATTTGGTAGTTTTTTTTTTTTTTTTTTTTTTTTTTTTTGTCTCTCCCCTCTTTTACTCACAAACACTTCAACAGGAAGTGGTGAATGCTCTGGTGGCTCCCAGGTGAAACTCAAGTTCATGGATAACTTTTTAACAGCATTAACATTGTCTGAAACCAGCCCCCCTGCCGAGCATTTTTTTTTTTTTGAGAACATCTTGCTCAGTCCCAGACTGACCTTAAATTCTTTATCCTTCCAAGTAGTCTCAGCCTCTTGAGTAGATGGGATTATTGACATGAACCCCTGTGCACAGCAGCAGTCTCAAATTTTTTTTTGCCTGAGATAGACCTTATATAATTGCTTTATCCTAGGTGTCAGAAATCACTGTGACCACACTGCATCTTCCAGATAGAAAGTATGGATACCCAAGCCAATGTCTGAGAGCTTGTATCTCCTTGATTTCTCTTTTAGGGAAGAAGTTTGGCAAATATGAACGTTTGAGGTCCCCAAAAATGAGGAGTTCTCCTCACCTAACACTTTGAAAATCTGGGGCAAAAAAACAGGGCCTCCTGGGCAGCCTAATGCCTTTGTAGCTCAGGAAATATCAGGGAAGCTACTTCTCCTGAACACTCTCCCTTAAATCCCAGGATTCTTGTATTAAAAGTCTTGATTTTATATTCTAAGATCATAATTAGTAACAGCTGGGCAAATTCATCCTTGACACTTATCTGTGTACAAGGGAAGTTCTAGAAAAAGTCCATGCAGTGTATCAAGAGCCTGTAGAGGCTTTGTGGTTGCATCTTTCATGTTCCAAACAGGATGGGTTGCAGGTGTGGCCTCATCTGCTCTTGCAGTTTACACTGAATATGTGTCATTCCTTTAGAAGCACTTGGAAGGCAGGACCCTTGGTCTCTTACTGGAAAGAATGAGATTGAGGTGAGAAAAACAAAATTATTTTCTTTCTTGTGTGTGTGTGTGTGTGTGTGTGTGTGTCTGTGTATACCAGGGATTGAATCTAGGGGCACTTAACCACTGAGCCACATCCTAGTCCTTTTTCATATTTTAGTTAGGGATAGGATTTACTGACTTGCTTAGGACCTTACTAATTGCTGAGGCTGGGGTTTGAATTGCTGAGCCACCTGCCTCAGCTTCCATAGCTAGGAATATAGGCATGCACCCCCACACATGGTGAGTAAAATAAAATTTATAAACTAAATCCCTCTCTAAGTGTCAGAATAAAATTAAATTCAATCTCAGGCAAAATATATATATATATAAATATTAAAAAATATATTTACTAAAAATCGTATATTGATGACACCCTCTTTCTATGTTTTTAAAGCAAAAAATAAATAAATAAAAAAACACAACTAAATATTAGAAACAATCTGAAGCTGAGGATTCATTTTGTTTTATTTTTTTTTTAATTGATCATTGTTGGTAAGCCTGTGGAGCTTTATTTATGAAGATTAGACAAGGTGATACATCAACACTCTGTACCTGAAAACTAATCACCCACATGACCAAAACACCCACACTAACCCAATTACCTACACTAACACTGATTGAGCATCCTGAAATGCAATCAAGGAAGAACTGGGTGTGGTCTTCAGGCACTCAGTAAAAGGGCACTCCTGGAGACAAGCTCATTCTTCTCCAGAGCAGAGTTTGAAACTCATCTCGCTGAGGGACATTTTAATCTACCTCCTCTACAACTGGAGCACGTAATCCTGGAGCTGACTTCATACTTACCCTTCTGCAACAAGCACTGGTGAAACCATGGACCCACTAGTTAGGTAAGTACACCATTCATAGTGGAACTGTAGTTGCTTTACCAAGCCAAATCAAGTCAAATTTCCTATTTTAAATGATCTTCAAATTAGGTTATCTCTATGAAATGATGCTGTTTCTCTACTTAGTATAAAAATCATTCCTCTTCTGTCTTGACTTGAATATAGTTTGGAATTAAAGTGATATTTAATTTAATTTTGTTAGTTTTGTATCCCTTAGTTGGTTCTATGTATTTTATAAGGACTCAGAAATTAGCTTCCAGATAACTTGTACTTTTGTACTTGTAGATTTAAAAATATATTTAGGAATACTTCTTCCCTCTTATTTCTAGAAATTCAACCACTGTAGAAATGAGAACCCAAATCTTTAGCAAAATAAAATTATAAATGATGCCTTGTTTTCTGGAACAGACTAAAATATTTACATATTTTCACATTGTGAAGCAGTGTTTGGAAATAGTTTGGGCTTGGTAGAGAGAGGTATTCTCTTAAATCCATAATTTATTTGAGTTATCTATTTATTAATTTTTATATTTGGTCATATATTAAAGGAAGTCTATTTTGTCATAGGCAGAAGTGTGCTATTCAATAACAACTTGAGTAAAATTTTGTTCAGGACTTTTTCTCTTCAAGGATAGATGAATAAATTCTATTGATATTCTTCCCTCAGAAAATGGACTTAGAAATCTCACAAGCCTTCAAGAAAGAATGCACCTGTTCCATCTGCCTAAAGTACCTTATGAACCCAGTCACCATAGACAGTGGCACAGCTTTTGTTTACCCTTTCTCTGCCTTTCCTGGGAACAAGTCCAAACTCCTGCCTGTTTCCCTGTGTGCAGAGAGCCATCTCAACAGAAATATGTCAAAAACAATATTCTTCTGAAGAATTTGATGTCCACTTCCAGAAAAGCCAGTCTCAGGAAATTCCTGAGCTCTAGCAAAATGTGTGTGATCTACAAAGAGACAAAGATGATCTTCAGTGAAGATTAAAAGCCCCTGCTGTGTTTGCTCTGCTCCAGCTCTCAGGAGCAAAGGGCTCAGGGACATCCTTCTGTAGAAGGGGCTGCTGAGGAGTACCAGGTAAGTGAACCCCCTAAGAGCACTGTGAAGTGTGAGTGAGGGCACTCAGGGATTATAAAAAAGATGAGGATCACGATGATGATTGCCCTGTTTTTTACTGCTTGCTACAAAATTTTCCAAGCATCAAGGAAGAAGCTAAGTACCAAAGGTGTAAGCAATAAATAAAGTATACAAATATACCTGCCTTAGTGGAGCTTGCTTCTACAGGGCTCGTGATAAGGTGCATGCTTACTTTAATTTTGAGTTTAACACTAAGGCATTAGAAAGTTCTCATTTGAAAAGAGTTACAGGATACTCCAATAATAAATGCAAACTATTTCTATATAGTATGCATATATACTAACACAAGGGATAAAGTGCTTGGAATTAGTGTGGGAGAGCCTCAGAAAATCCCAATTCTGATGGAATTGCCACACTATCTGAAAGCTATATATCAATATCCCTGGCTACATTATATTTTGTACTTTTGCAGGCTGAAATCTTCTAAAATTCATAATCATCAATGGTAAAAAAAGAAGGTATTATAATTTTTTTTCTTCCTACAACAGTAATTATATCTTTTTTGTTGATTCTATCATTGTGAAATGGAAACAAATGTATTTGCTTCTCAAGTGTTTAATGATATATATATATATATATATATATATATATATATCTCATTTTATATATATATATATATATATCTCATTATATATATAATGTATGTGTGTATATATATATATATATGTATATATATATATACACACACACATATGTATATACATGCACACAAAGGAGAAGCTGCTAAAGCAAATAAGATCATTATGGGAAAAGATCCATGTAAATCAGAAAAATTTAAATGAAGAGAACAAAATTATCAGTCCATGGATGGTAAGTATAAGTCTATTTTCCTAACACTCAGCTTGAGGCAGACAGTCTAGAAATTTATCTATAGTCACTTTAACATCATAGTATAAGGATATTAGGCATAGCTTTTCTGGTGGTTTCTAATTCTGAAAGTAAAATTCAACTATGTTGGTCAAACAAATGACCAAGCAGTGTTGTAGGGAGGTTTGAGTTTAAAATTAATTTACTAACCATAGATGAGACTATTGCATATTATGATGTGTGACTCAACTATAAATTATAATTGCTTGCATAAATGCTTTTATATGTGGGAGGATAAATTATCAATCAAAAATTTTTTTTTCTTCAGATATATTATACACTCATGAAGCAGATAAAAGTGGATAAAAGCACAAAAAAGAATGGCTTGGTTCCTTCCATCATTATAAAGAATAGAAAAACAATCAAGATTAAAGAGAAGTGAAATTGTGATTTCTGAGAAATGGGCAGATATGAATTTATGGTGTATGTAACATACTGATAAAAGGTACTGGCCAAGAGAGGTTTAACTGGAGGAGGATAAAATCATGCTTCAAAGGTGATCTAGACAACCTATCCCTACAGTGCTACATATATCTACAGGAAGAGCTGATGAGGGCTGAGTATAAGTAACTGTGTCCCATTCTTCATGAGGAAGAAAGACTACATGTAGAGTCTTAAAAAAGAAATCGAATGAATTTTAGAGCATCTCAAAAAAGCAATGACAAAATTGTTCAAAAGAAGACACACCTCAGAGAAATACATAAGAAACTGGTGAAAATATCCCATAAACCCTATGTTGAGCTTCTGCAGGTAAGCACTGAGATGAAGGTGAAAGTGTTTTATATAATCTGAGGTTCTCAGTTTTGAACACATTATTTAGTGCCACACCTAAATTTTCACATCTCCTGCGTGATTGATGGGGTTCTTTCCTCTTTGGATATAATCTAGGTAAAGCTTATCTTTTATTCTGACAACAAATAAGCAAAATTTGTGGAATTTTGTGAGTAGCTGTCCTAGGAAATGTTTTCTTCTTAAGTTATTGTTTTGAAGCTTGCTTTCCTAAGAACCAGAAGTAACCATTTGTTCATCAACATTCCATTTTTGCCTGCCACTGGACAATATGAAGAAATTTTGGAAAAGCTAATGGTTCCTTAATTCTGTTTTGAAGTTGTGGGTTTGAAATGCCCTCATTAGAGACATTATCTACTATGTGCTACCCATGTCCATCCTTCTCACTCTTTTCTCACCCTCTGGGTGCTGAATTCTTCTAGAATTCAGTTTCTTCAATTATGCTTTACCAGAATTGTCCTAAGAGATGAAAATGCATTTATAACAAGGGTTGCTGTGATGATATTTGATACTTACCTGAACTTTCCAAAATCAAAATTCCATCCTATTTCTTAAGAAATTTAAGCCTTTCTGGTTTTCTTTGCAGAACTTGTGAGATCTATTGACAAAGTAAGTTTAGTCTTTAGTGCAAACTAGGGCACCATGTGAGCTATGAAAAAGATCAAGCTGTTTCTAAAGAAGTGAAAAAATACTTTATGTAGATAATAATCAACAGTATGTGCAGGTGTGTGAATATGATTTCCTGTTCCCTTTATCAGAAGTTAGCTTCTCTTTGCCCCTGTGTTTGAGGGTTGAGGGCTGAATGCTGACATTCATAAATACAACTCTGAATGATTTTAAATTGTAAATCAGAAACACTGAAGTGCATGGGATAGTTTTTCCTAGTTAGGAAATGAGATTGGCACCTCTGAGAAATGAGTTGTTAATAGATAAATAAAGTTAGAAAGACTCCTGGGAACAGTCCCTTCTCATGAAGATGGAGGCATACTCTGATGAGTAAGGGGTTTCAATAAATATTTTCAGTGGAATGGTTGTTTAGTTCCTTAAAAACTGTGATGACATCTTTCACATCACAAGATTTATGTTCTCTTCCTCCTTACAGGAGTGAGTCAGTGCAGCTGCACATGCCTCATCCTATAAAGCCAGCACTTTCTGCCCAGACCATCATTTGATAGCTCAACTGCTTCCATGGTGAGTATCAGCCCACTGATGGGAACACAGTATAGCACCCTTCAGTAATGATTTTCTGTGGGAAATCTTTAACTTTATTCACCTTTAATATCCCAAAAGGAAATGGCCTGTCAATTGGTATCTATAATCACATTTAGTAAACTGGTTACCATGATTAAATAAGAAAAATGTAACTGCAGGCTGGTATAATAATAAATGTGATTCAGGGTATAGATACAAAATCACTTAAGTAAGTCAGACAATTATAAATTAGTTCAGAATGTTCTCACTTTAAGTTCCGGTAATGATGGAGATTATTTAAATATTTTCCCTTAAAATGCCTTAGTAATTGAATGTTTCACATGTATCATATTAAATATAATATACACAAATACATTAAATTTAATATATTAAAATTCATGAATAAACATAATATAACTGAATTCACAGAGCAATACTTCATGAACATCAAAAATAAAATGAGTTGGTGAAGTTGAGGCAGTATATATATTGCCATGGTAAACCTAAATAGGAAACAAAGCAAGTGGTTATTTCTTTGGACTTAATGCAATGCAGACCTCCACTTCTAGCTCATTAAAGGAGTGAGCTAGAAGTAGGCATGACCACCCTTTTTGTTACAGTGTCCATATTTTTAGCCATGTTTCCATTGTGATTGGGCTCTTGTTTCTGCAGCAGGTGTTCTGGAACTCTTGTAATATACTCCAGCCACAATTATGCATTCTAACCCACCTCTCCTCCCAAAAGAGTTAAAGGTATAACTTCTAACCTAACAGAAATTAGAAGATGATTTTGGCTGGAATATTGTCTTCCTTCCACAGTGGAAATTTTCTTCAAAATTGCAGTAATGGATCATAACATCAAGATATTTGATGATGTGAGAAGTTTGAGATTTGAGCATGTCCATCCAGACTCATGTTTGAATTCTAATAGATCGAACTATTTTGATGTATGGGGAACAAAGAGTTCCCTGGGAAATATTACTGGAAATTCGATATGAAGGAATCTTTGGACTGGAATCTACGAATCTGCAAGGATTCCTGGGTGAGGAAGAATGGAACACTGATTGACTCCAAAGACATGTTTCTTCTCCTCGTTGTGAAGGGGGATCATCATTACAGTCTCTTGACCACCTCCCCAATATTTTCTAACTACATAGAGAAACTTCAGGGCTACGTTGGTGTGTTTCTTGATTTTTGAGAGTGGAAGTGTGACTTTTGTGAATGTTCCCAAGTGTTCTCTTATATGGCAGTTCCTTGCTGGCTCTTTGAATTTCCCAGTCAGGCCTTTTACTCATACTGACCAAAAATGACCAGGGATGTCAGGAAACTATGCCTAGGAATTTTGTAATTCAGGCAGCCCTTCCAAGTAAAAGGCAACAACAATATACTTCAGTATTTTTTCAGTATTTTTTACTTGAACCTAGTGTGGTGGTACAAGATTATTAATTCCAGCAATTCTATTAATTCAGGAAGCTGAGGTTGGAGGACCTCATGTTTGAGGCCAGACTTGGAACCTTAGCAATACCTGGTCTCAAAAAAGAAGAAAGAAAGAAAGGAAGGAAGGAAGGAAGGAAGGAAGGAAGGAAGGAAAGAAAAGAAAAGAAGGAAGGTGGGAAATGTAGCACATTTTTAATGAATCCCTGGGTTTAACTCCCAGTACCATAAAATAAAATACAAAAAGAAAGAAAAAATAGAAGAAAGAAAGAAAAAAAGAAAGAGGTATAAATAAATCAGAGATTTCAAAATTTAAACAGCAGTCGAAGAAAAAAGCAAATTATTAAAATTGTGAAGTTGTTGTTGTAGAACAAAGTATTATTTAATGAAATAATTGTTTTAGTTAAAATGTCTCTTTAAAAAACCTAAGTCATGTAAACTTTCTTGTATCTGACCCCAAACCTCATCAAAATTTTTTACTCTACTTCATAAACCTAATCAGTATGATCTTATAAGTCCTTCCCACCACTTTCAGAAGAGGTAACCAACAGTGGCTATGGTCTTAGGTGAATCCCAGTTATCTAAGAAGAGTACTTGTCTGAAGAATGCCTTTACCTCTAAGGTAATCTAAGTAGCAGACTTGAATTCTCAGCTTCTGAGCTTTGCATACCTGAGAGTTACTGCTCATGGTGATACTGACAAATTTTCCAAAACTTCCACACCAGAGTTCTCTCATAGCTAACTCTGATGAGTTGGGAATTTAGAGTAAATACTTTCAAGCTGTCTTTCTCTCCTAAAAATTCTTTAAATTTACTTTTCAACCTACTTGAGTTTTGTCCAAGTAAAACTATTTATATTTCCTTGGTTAAAATATATATAACTAGAGCAATTGTAATAAGTAATATGAGTAATTTTCATTCTATTCCCTTGTTTTTTATTAGATTTTGCAGGTTTTACATGAAATATTTCTGCAGTTTTATTAATTTTGTAAGTCATAAGTTGCTTATAATATTCAGTATATTATATGCATGCAATAGTCTTCATGCACATAGATTTAATTTTTTAGTGGGCAGGGTGGGTGCCGGAGAGTTAACTCAAGAGCAGTCAACCACATAGCCTCATTTAGTATTTTACAGAATGTCTTACTGAGTTTGTTAGCACCTCACTTTTGCAGAGGCAGATCTTGAGATCCCTCTGCCATACCTGCCAGAGCAGCTGGGATTATAGATGTGTGCCACTACCCTTGGTTTCAAATTTTAATGTATAGCTTTGATAGTAAAACCCTTGATGTAAAAGTCCTACATGTTGTCCCTTTACAACCTTCAGTTCACAAAATAGTTGAAATGTTTTCCACTATGTGCAAACAAATTGCAAAAGTTTCCAAGTGGAAATATTGATAACTACAGAAAAATACCAGAAATTAACATGAATTTATCATGCTTTATCAACTACATCTCTAAACTGAAGTGAAGTCTCTCAACTCTAGTATAGAGAGGAAAGCACCATTGTTACCATTGTTAATTTATGCTGGTTCTCTAATTTTTCTTTTCTTTTTTTTTTTTTTTTTTTTTTTTTTTTTTGTACTGGGAATTGTACTCAGGGCTAATCTACCACTGTATTACAACCCATTTTGAAATGGTCTCACTAAGGTGCCCAGGCTGGCCATGAAATTAGTTTCCTTATGACTTAGTCTCCCCAGTAGTTGGGATAGTAGGCATGCACCATTTCACTAGGGTCTCCAGTTGATTTTGTTTTAAATAACAATAGATTAATTATTGCTGATTATTACTTCAGCATGCATACACATCTCCTCAAAATATGAAGGTACTCTGATGGTCAGAACTGAATATGGGAGAAATTATTTTCTGTAATGAAAAGTAATAGAAAAAAATTACCTGTTTTATTTCCTTTTCAGTCCTGGGGCTAAAACTCAGGAGCTTACATGTTTTGGGCAAGTAAGTCCTCTACCACTGATTACATCTCTAGTCTTAAATTCTAATTTTAAAAATTTCTTTCTTTATTGGTACTAGGGATTGGACAGAGTGTTGCTCTACAACTGAGTTACATCACAACACTTTCTTAGTTTTTATTCTGAGACATGATCTCAATAAATTGTTGCAGTTGGCCTCACAACTTTAATCCTCTTGCCTCAGCTTCCCAAGTAGCTGAGATGAGAGGTGTGCATCAATACGCCTAGCTTACATTTTATTTTTTGAAAGAAATTATTTAATTAAGATTAGAAGTATAAATTCAACTGTTTGAAGTTTCAGGAGTTGGAAGTTGAACACAACAGTGATTAAACCAAGCAATCTTCAAATGAATTAAACTCAATGTTAATTGTCTTTACAGAAGCACATCCATGGGTTGAGAGGCAGAGAGAATAGATATTTGGCATAAAAGCTGTCTCTATGTTTGTTACAGTTATGGAGTCAGAGAGACAAAGTGAGGGAGAGATAATCACTCAGACTGATCAGCTAATGTACGTAAGTCTGGAATCATCCTAAACATTCTTCTTTGTCCAAATATTGAACTTATCCAAATGATTAAGAAAGTTTCTTTTTTAAAATAAAGATCATGCTCATCTCATCTTGTTCATTTGTGTCAAAACAAACCCAGCCTCTCTATATTTTCCATATTTAGATTGTATTGATAGAAGTTAATAGAAACTTTAAGCACAACTCAACTGAACAAGCAGGGCTGTCCAAAGTTCTTTTATGTTTTTTATTTCCTCATCAAGCAGAAGGATAAGTCTCTCTTATTTCCCTTTTTCCTCTTACCCACTTCCCTTATATTTTCAGTTTCAGAAACATGGATTCAAAGGCCTTGCAAGACTTCCAGAGTGCACTCACATGCTCCATTTGCATGAATTACTTCTTACAACCTGTTACCATAGACTGTGAGAACACCTTTTGCTGACCCTGCCTCTGCCTCTGCTGGGAGGAAGCCCAAATACCAATGTGCTTCCAGAAGTGTAGAGAAATAGCAGAGAAGGTAGACTTCAAAACCAACATTGTCCTCAAGAAGCTGGCTTCGCTTGCCAGATAGGCCACACCTCACTCTCAGAGCAGCTGTGGGGGGCAGCTCTGCAGGACACACAGGGACAAAAAGGGGCTCTTCTGTGAAGTCGACAAGAACTTGCTCTTTGCACCTTGTTCTGAATCACTCAAACACGTTTTTAACAGCTATAGTCCAGCATAATGGGTGGCTGAGGAGTACAGGGTGAGTGATGGTCATGAAGCAACTTGGAAACTGAAGCATCCAAATAAGAGAGAAAGATGAGGGCATATGACAGTGGGGCAGATGATCATGCAGATGGAGTTAGTGCTGTTTAGGTATAAATTTCAAGATATAAATAACTTTAAATGTTTCCCAGTTTGATACTATGATCATAACTAAGATGAATGCTCATGAAGTAAAGTTCCCCTAGAAACACTGTCCAAATAACAGGACATGGTGGCCATGCCAATAATCCTACCTATTCAGCACATAGAGGTAGGAGAATCCCATGTTTCAGGCAACTCTGGGCAACTTAGCAAGACATTATTCTTTTTTGGTTTGTGTGTTTAGGGGGCTGAGGATACTTCTCATGGTAAATGCTTGTCTACCATACATTTAACCTTGGGTTCAATCTTCAGTACTGAAAATAAAAATAAACATATTGTCCAAATATGTGAAATTCTGGCAGCAGTAGATCAGATGGGTAGCACTAGGAACACGGGCTTCTTTAATTGCAAGCTGGACCCTTTCATAGTGAGGTTATGTAACAAGTGCCTTGTCAGGAAATGGACTACATTATCTAGGATTCCTTCAAACTATTATTATTATTATTATTATTATTATTATTATCATCATCATCATCATTATTATTTGCTTCCCAAATAATAAAATTAATTTAGACTAATTTGTGAAAATCTGACTCTCTTCTAACTCAAGATTGCTCTACTCTAAAACACTGCTTTTTTTTTTTTTTTTCAGTACACAAAAATGAATCCTGCAAGACTGTCTTCCCTAACACTAAAGCCTATGTTTATTTTCAATTTCCTTCTAAAGGAAATTGATCTGTTATGGAAAATGACTCAAGAGATGCAAAAATCTAAATGAGGTAGTTCACAAAACTCACTTCTTCATGGTAAATATGAAAAGGTTTTCTTTGTTTTTATGCAGACTAAAATGATGTTGTCAGCTCAGTTTGAGTTGTCATTGGAGGATAGTATTTTCCTTTCAGAATATGCAGGGATTGCTGGTAATATTACAAATTGACTGGTGAACACAAGCTAATGTGATGAATACTACTAGTATGTGAGGTGAGTGAGGCATGACTGGTATTTCCTGTCCAACTTTGGAGTTTTGGATAAATTGTTCCAGACACTGAGGACAGTATTGAACTATTTAGTTTGAAAGAGAAGATATATATATAATATTTTTAACTATGGCAAAGTTGAGTTTTTTAATGTATAATACAGTGTTATATAATATATTCAAAAATCTTCAGAAGAATCAAACAAAGGTATAAAAGAAAAGGCAGAAGATTCATATAAAAGAGGTAAAATAATGCATTAAGAACCCTGAAGAGACATCATAAGGAGATAGCCTGAGATCCCACAGAGGTCTTGATTTAAACAGGAGAGAGGCAAGAAACTGAGAAAGAAATTATCACAAAATGCCATTGAGGTAAAACATAAAATGCTGCACCTGAACTGGCAACCACAACTGCTATCTCAACTGGGAAATAGAATAAACAGCAAACTGAGAAGAAAAGTGGTCCACGCTCAGCAGATTCAGAGGCTCAGTACTGCATGGGGCTTCATACTTCAGACACTGGCCACCACTAATGGATGATTAATTGGTGTATGTATATATTTTTAAAAGCTTAAATACTTTATATAAATTTTTCTAAAAGTTGCTTTTTTGACTATCTAAGTGTGTCATGGAACATAGACACATAGATATCTGTGTTAAAACTTTTCAAATTTTACTTTAAAATATTTTATATCTAAGGAAGAGTTAAAAATGTAATATACTGACTTAATTTGTATTTGTGTTTCTATGGCCAGTTTCCTATTCCCCTAAAATGTTCATACATCCCATGAGACAGTTTTGAAGCATTGGAAGCTTACATTGGTAAGTTATCATGAACTGAAGTCTGACATTTTTAAAATTTTTAAAAATTACACCAGCTTGTACATGAAAATCCTATTTTCTATTCCAGGATCCAACCTAGAATGGAGCATTGAATTTACTCTGATGACTCCTTTGGTTTCATTTGAAAGAGCTTTTTTCCTTACTTTTTATGAGTTTCACAATTTCAAGGAATACTTGTCAGGGTTCTTGTAAAAGAACCCTCAATTTTGTTTTGTAGATGTTTTTTTTTTTTTTTTTTTTTCTCATGAATAGACTAGAGTTATCAGTTCAGAGAGTAAGAAAACAGAGGCAAAATTCTCTCCTCATTATAAGTATATGGTATCCACATATTCTGTGTACCAAATTAAGTTCATTGGTTATATGAAAAATATATCATTCTGACAGAGGATATGGATAATGATTGAGGCTATAAACTTGTGTATATAGAGAAGGGGCAGAGAACATGTGTAAAATTTCTTTATTTCCTCTTAATTTTGCTGTTAACATAAAATTTCTTTAAAAAATAGTTAAGGAAGTCAGGACCTAATCAAATATGTTGAATATTTAGGCCTACTTTTTCTTCCATTATGTGCAGGCTATCTGGTCCAATTCCTAGATCCTTAATCCACTTCCAGTTAAGCTTTGTGCATGGTGACAGATAATGGTTTAATTTCATTTTTCTACATATGGATTTCTATTTTTCCAAGAACCATTTGTTAAAGGGCTATCTTTTCTACAATGTATGTTTTCAGTGCTTTTGTCTACTATCAGATAACTGTATTTATGTGGTGTTGTGTCTGTGTCTTCTATTCTGTACCATTGGTCTACAAGTCTACCTTGATACCAATACCATGCCATTTTTTGTTACTATGGCTCTGCAGTATAGTTTAAAGTCTGATCTTATGATGCATGCTGATTTACTTTTCTTGCTAAGGATTGCTTTGGCTACTCTGAGTCTCTTATTTTTTTCAAATGATTTTCATGATTGCTTTTTTTATTTCTATGAGGAATGTTGTTGGGATTTTAATTGAGATTGCGTCAAATCTATATAATGATTTTGGCAGTATGGCCACTTTGACAACATTAATTATTACTATCCAAGAATATGGGAGATATTTCCATCTTCTAAGATCTTCAATGTCTTTGTTTAGTCTTCTGTAGTGTTTATTGTATAGGTCTCCCTGAGAAGTGGATGCAGATACATAATGGGGGTGGAGGGTGAGAATGGAAGAACTTTGATTAGGCAAAGGGGAGGGAAGGTAGGGGAGGGAGAATGGGGGTAGGAAAGATAGTGGAATGAGATGAACATCATTACCCTGGGTACATGTATGACTACACATGTAAAACAACTCTACATTGTGTACAGGCAGAGAAATAAATGAAAAGATGTGCTCAATATGCATACAAAGAATAGAAATGCATTCTGCTATCATGTATAAGTAATTAGAATAAAAAATAAAAATAGTGAAGAAAATGAAAGAAAAAAAATAGTTAAGGAAATAGTAGGGAAGGAGAAAGGGCCAAACTTTACTGGCTTCACTGAAAAATAGCTTCTTATCCTGAGTGTGTGAAAGAGTTTTACTTTTTTATTCCCTAAGGATGAATAAATTAGAATTTCTTAGATTAACAGAAAGGTGAAAACATCAAAATGGTATGTTTATTGTGGACAAATATTTCTGCCTATGATGTGAAAATTTTTCCAAAAAAAAATTCTATTAAACATGTATCATACCTTTACATATATTTGTTAATTCTGAAAAACTCACGAAATACTCAAAGATCCATAGCCTATAGTGAAGATGGAAAAAAAGGCACTGCAAAGCATTTTATGTGCCACAAAATATGATCTTCATTTAAAGAAAATTAATCAACACAATTTTGCATTCATACTATCTTCAACCATCTTTGTTTTTAAAAGCAAAGTGAAGTTACATTCAAGAAAAAAAAAATTTTCTTTTTTCTTTTTCTTGGACTGAGAATGAAACCAGAGGTGCTCTACCACTGAACTACATTCCCAGGCTTTTTTTTTTTTTTGTACTGAGAATTGAACCCAGAACATGTGCAAGTGAGGGAACCACTCTACCAACTAAGCTGTATCTGAGCCCCTTCTACTCCTTTCTATTTTTTTTTTTTTTTTTTTTTGAGACTAGGCCTTGCTAAGGTTCCAAGGCTGGCCTCAAACTTGAGGTCCTCCAATTTCAGCTTCCTGAATTTCTAGAACTCTTGGAATGAATAAACATGTACCACCACATCGGGATCTAGTAAAAAATACTGAAAAAATACTAAAGTATAATATTGTTGACTTTTACTGGGAAGGGCTGCCTGAATTACAGAATTCCTAGGCATAGAGTTTCCTGATTTATCCCTGGTTATTTGTAGCCAATATGAACAAAAGGCCTGACTGGGAAATTCAAAGAGCTAGCAGGGTACTGCCATATAAGGGAACTCTTGATAATATTCATAAAATTCAAACTTCCACTTTCAAAAATTAAGAAACACACCAACCCGGACCTAAGGCTTCTCTATGTAGTGAAAAAACACTGGGGAGGTGGTCAAGAGACTGTAGTGATCATCCTCCTTCACAAAGAGGAGAAGAAACATGTCTTTGGAGTCAATCAGTGTGCCATTCTTCCTTACCCAGGAGTCCTTGAAAATTCCTAGATCCCTGTCCAAAGAGTCCTTCATATCCAATTTATAGTAATATTTCCCAGGGAACTCTTTGTTCCCCATGCAGCAAAATAGTTAGATCTATCAGAATTCAAACATGAGCCTAGATGGACATGCTCAAATCTTAAACTTCTCACATCATCAAATAGTTTGATGTTATGATCGGTTACTGAATTTTTGAAGGAAATTTCCACAGTGGAAAGAAGAGAATATTCCAGTCAAAATCGTCTTTTAAATTCCTGTTAGATGAGAAGTTATACCTTTGACTCTTTTAGTAGGAGAGATGAGTTAGAAGGCAGAAGTAAAGGGATAATTATGGCTGACGTACATTGCAAGTTTTCCAGAACATCTGCAGCAGAAACAAAAGCCCAATAACAATGAAAACACTGTTAAAAATATGAACACTGTAACAAAATAGGTGGTCATGCCTATTTCTAGCTCATTGGTTTTCATTTTACCTGAGAACTGGAGTTCTGCATTGCCACTAAGTCCAAGGAAATTACTACTTGCTTTGGTTTCTATTTAGGTTTACCATGAAAATCTATATACTGCCTCAACTTCACCAACTCATTTTATTTTTGATGCCCATAAAATATTGCTCTGTGCATTCATTATTTTATGTTTGTTCATGTATTTTAATATATTAAATTTAATGCATTTTTATATATTACATTTAATATATTACATGTGAAATATTCAATTACTAAGATATTTTAAGGGAAAATATTTAAATAATCTCCATCACTAACTGCACCTAATTTAAAGTGAGAACATTCTGAACTAATTTATAATTGTCTGACTCATTTAAGTGATTTTGTATCTATTCCCTGAATCACATTTATCATTATAACAGCCTGCATTTATTTTTTTTCTTATTTAATCATGGTAATCAGTTTACTAATTGTGATTATAAATACGAATTGACAGGGCATTTCCTTTTTGGATACTAAAGGTTAATAAAGGTAAATATTTCCCACAGAAAATCATTACTGAAGGGCACTATACTGTGTTTCCATAAGTGGGCTGATACTCACCTTGAAAGCAGATAAGCCTATCTATCAGTCCAGTGATGGTCTGGGCAGGAAGTGCTGGCTTTATAGGCTGAGGCAACTGCACTGACTCACTTCTGTAAGGAGGAAGAGGATATGAATCTTGTGGTGTGAAAGATGTCATAACAGTTTTTAAGGAACCAAACAACCACTCCACTCAAAATATTTCTTGAAACCCTTTTCTCATCATTGTGTACCTCCATCTTCATGAGAAGGGACTATTCCTAGGAGTCTTTTTTACTATATTTGCCAGTTAACAGCTCATTTCTCATAGGTGCCAATCTCATTTTCTAACTAGGAAAAACTATCCCCTGCACCTCAGTATTTCTGATTTACCATGTAAAATCATACAGGGTTGTATTTATGAATGTCAGCATTCAGCCCAGCAAAACATGCATCCCTCAACCACAGGAGAAAAGAGAAGCTAACTTCTGATAAAGGGAACAGGAAATCATATTCACACAAACACATGCACACACAGTTGATTACTAATTACATAAAGTATTTCTTCACTTTGTTAGAAACAGCTTGATCTTCTTCATAGCTCACATGGTGCGCTAGTTTTCACTAAAGACTAAACTTACTTTGTCAATAGACCTCCCAAGTCCTGCAAAGAAAACAAGAAAGGCTTAGATTTTTTTAAGAAATAGGATGGTATTTTGTTTTTTGTAAAGTTCAGGTAAGTATCAAATATCATCACAGCAACCCTTTTTATAAATTCATTTTCATCTCTCAGGACAATACTGGTAACACATATTTGAAGAAACTGAATTCTTCAAGAATTCAACACCCAGAGGGTGAGAAAAGAGTGAGAAGGAAGGACATGGGTAGCACATAGCAGACAATGTCTCTAATGAGGGCATTTCAAACCCACAATTTCAAAACAGATGTAAGGAACCATTAGCTTTTCCAAAATTTCTTCATATTGTCCAGTGGCAGGCAAAAATAGAATGTTGATGAATAAGTGGTTATTTTCTGATTCTTAGAGAAGTAAGTTTCAAAACAACAGTTTAAGAAGAAAACATTTCCTAGGACAGCTACTCACAAAATTCCATAAATTTTGCTTATTTGTAGTCAGAATAGAAGTTAAACTTTACCTAGATTATATCCAAAGAGGAAAGAACCTCATCATTGATGCAGGAGATGTGAAAATTTAGATGTGGCACTAAGTAATGTGGTCAAAATTGAGAATCTAGGATTATGTAAAACACTTTCACCTGCATCTCAGTGCTCACCTGGAGAAGCTCAACATAGGGTTTATGGGACATTTTCAATAGCTTCTTATGTATTTCTCTTAGGTGTGTCTTCTTTTGAACCGTTTTGCCTTTGCTTTTTTTGAGATGCTCAAAAATTAATTTCCTTTCCTTTTTAAGACTCTATATGTAGTTTTTCTTCCTCAAGA